AGTGGTTCAGACCAGAATATTTACAGCATGGCTGTGTAACCTGTGGGAGGGAAAAATGCAATACAGAGCCCAATATTTTCCATTGTGAGGAAGAAAAAATGCCAATAATTTATATCAGCACATCCTAATGAAATGAGGCACCCACCTCTGTTAAAAATTAAACCTCAGAATTCACAGGGATGAGGATTCCCAGMGCTGTTTGAACCCATGCTGCTCTCCAGGCAGCTGCAGGTTACAGAYGAGAGAAATTCAGCTAATTTCATGTCAGAATATAAATAATTAAAGCTGGAAGCTCTGCTGTACACATTAAATGCTGGTATCCTCTAAACGAGGTCGCAGTTCAATTTGTTCAGCCATTTTTTGGGTATTTTTCTTATTTTCTGATGCTGTGTAGTTCCCTGCACGCTTTGATGTGAGCTGGGAGCTGGGAAATTATGAACCTAGTGCAGCCCCATAATTAGTTAATTCATATTTTGGTCAGTTCTGCTGCACTTTGTGATTCTGGACCTTGCCTAATTAATATTTGCACAGTGGAGGAGGCAGGGGATGGCTCCTGCTGCTCCTCAAACATCACCCAGCCCTGAGCACCACTGAAAAAGGGTTTGCAGATGAGATCTGCCTTGCCATTCGTACTTTAGGTGGAGTTTTTCTGATTATTTAGGGTTTTTTTTTTTAATGTTCTTCTCCAATTCCTGCATTTTGAGATGCCTTAGGAAGGGGTGTGGCCCTCAGCCCTCTGTTCTCAGCCCAGGGTGAGCAGATCCTGTATCCTCCCCTCCTCACTGGGATGAGAGGGATTAAACCTGAACTGGACACAAATTCCTTTAAACTGAAACCAGGAGATTTTCAGCTGCCAAAGTGGGGCTCTCCAGCATCACTCAGCTGTACACAGGTGGAAAGGAGAGCTAAGAAAATGTAATTTATGCTCRTTTAGGGATTAAGGGGCAAGTTTTCCTGCGATTGCAGAGGATTTGAGTCAGTCCACAAGAAGTCTGTTCCATTTCCCTTCCTGATCTGTCAGCAGCAAAGCCCCYGCTGGATGTAACCTGATTGATTTAGGCCATAATTCCCCAAATTATGAAATTAGAGACCGTSTCAGTGCCATTTTCTCATTTCTCTTTGATACACAGATGATCAGGTATATAATGTTTTTCTCTGTTTCACTCCCGAGTCCATCTGGGCCAGTTTAATTACCTCTTTCTCCAAAGTTATGAAGGTGGGATGGTGAATGGAACAGGGACCACACAGACATTTTTATAAGCAGATGTTCTGACGATCTGGCTGGGTATTGATCCCCTGTGTGTTTTCTATGATGCCTCTTTTCAATTTAGCTCCTTTGCATTTGAATTAGTGTGCAGGTATTGAAATTAAATCTCATTTAGGGACTTACAGAAATACCTACTTTTCCACGCATTTATCAAATGAGGGATGATATGGGCCCAAACTGCTTATTTATTGCYGGTAAAAATGGGTTTTATGGCAAAATTTGAGGTGATTAGTCAGTGTTTTATAGGTAAAATACTGCATGATCCTTTGAAAATCTAAATATTATTGGAAAGGGACTTAATTTTGTAATGYTTGTGTGGTCATGGAGGAGAGCAAGAAGGGAGAGCTGGGGGAAACCTTCTGGATCGTGCTTAGAGCTGGTGTTTGCTGCTGGGCAGAGCCTGGCTGGGCAAAGCCTGGCTTAAACCTGTCTGTGTGGGCATTTCCTGCCTGGGTACAAAATCTCTGCTGCTTTGGATGATCCCTCCTCCTTATTGGTTGGATTATCCAGGTTGGATTTAGTTGTTTTTTTTTCCCTTTGGATGATCCCTCCTCATTGTTGGTTGGGTTATCCAGGTTGGATTGGTTTTATTCCCTTTGGATGATTCTCCCCCTGTTGCTGGTTGGATTATCCAGGCTGGATTAAGGGTTTTTTTTCCATTTGGATGATCTCCCTTTCATTGTTGGTTGGATTATCCAGGTTGGATTGAGTTTTACTCCCTTTGGATGATCCCCTCTCATTGCTGGTTCTCCCCCTGTTGTTGGCAGGGATGGTGAGAACTGGGA